ATTAACATAGCAACAGGTTAGAAAGAATGAATTTGTGCACAAGCAATCAAAACTTACATCATAAATAACCTTTGCAATAACATCCTTGAAGGGAAGTAGTTCATCATGTATATTTAGATGGGCAACACGACCTGTAAATATAAAGATACAATCATTGGTCTATATTCTCATAAGGATGGTTCTCATGTTGATACTACAAATTATCAAAAAGAATAACTGAAGAACTGCAGAGTATCTTGACCATAAAACTGACCGAAATAAAGCAACTAATCCTAGCCAACTTAACAGAATAATATATATAATTCAAAGAATGAATAAGATAAAAACTGGAAGTTATTAAACAAGAGAACATAAATTTAATACTCAACTATCGTTTCAAAGGATGAAGGTATCTCCACTCCAAAAGGCAGAATTTGCTTCAATATGTGATCTGCAGTCAAGAATAGCAATCAGAATGTCAGCCAGCAGCACAAACATGATAAATAACTGAAAGCATCATAAATATCATTATTGAGAATGTCTGCCACATACTTTTAAAACCTAGCATAAAAAGTTTGTGCCTTATGTCCAATTATTCTATGGATACAACTGAGGATACTTTCTGACACACAAGCAGTTGCCAAACACCAATAGCACATTACAACGTGTCTGACTTTTGTCAAACATTGTTCATGTAGACATGAAAGTTTACTATCTTTATTGTTAAATAAATCCAGTTACGCTTCAGTAAGGAAGAAAGAAACAACACAAAGACATCTAAATATCGTTCATAGAGAAACCACATGAAGTTATTGACCTCATCTCAAATCATCTATTTGCTCTAACAAAGCCGGGTTAATATTCATTCGGGAAACAAAATTCCAAGTTTCTTGACAATCTTGAAGTTCTCTGTTCTTCCAAGAAAAGCCAGGTTAAATGATAGAAGATTTTTGCAATACACATAAGAGGAGCGATGCAACTAACCTGCAGTCCAGTAGGAATATCCGAGTGTCAAGGAGTAAGGAACCACTTCAATCTTGCATAACTTCCTCAGCTCATCAAGTTTCTGTTCTGGAATTTCTGATAAATCTGTTCTATATCGAGAAAAATATATTGAGATGAAAAGGAATAATCACAAATGGGATACATAGCTTATGCCAGCACAAGCAAACTGCATCCATGCTCGCCATATGTTTCACATTGTGCTCATCCAAATTATCTCAACACAAACAGTAAACATGTAACTTAAAGCCGTAAGATGTTATCCTTCTTCTTTCTAATATAGAAAATAAAAGTATTATCCTTCATTCAAAACAATTTGTAATCTTTTTCCTCTATGTATTTGTATCATAAATAGAAACAACATGATGTTTCTTACCAGGATCTCCAACCCTTTCAGATAATATCATGTAACGATTTTTTTCACATGTTGGATCTTCAGTAATAGGTTTAACACGGGGCTTATCAAGCAAGTATCTGAAAAGGACAAAAGAGTAAACAACAAGAGTAACAACACACATCCATAAATAAGACAAAGGAAAGAAAGAGTCAATGCTGGAATATTTCAGTAAAATCTACTAGCATAGTTCCAGTAAAGTTCCTTCCTCTGTACTATCACTACTATGTAACTAAAGCAACAAATTTAAGAATATTACAACTATCCATGACTATAGCTAGCTGATGACAATTTCAGAAATGTCTCAAACAGATTTGAAACTTAACAATCTAAGAAGCCATCGAGAATTAAAAAAACTAAAAC